TTACAGCGCTATTGTTTATCTGTTTCTTTTAGGCATGCGACATTTGGAGCTTGGGCGTCATTATGTACATTCTGTTATGCGGCTATCCACCATTTTATTCAAAACACAGTTTACCCATAAGTCCCGGTATGAAAACTAAAATTCGTGCTGGCGAATATCGATTTCCAGAAGCGGACTGGTGTATGGTATCAGATGAAGCTAAAAATCTGATACAAGCCATGTTAACAGTAGAACCCGAAAAGAGACCAAATATTGAGACAATATTGAAAAGTTCATGGTTATCTGAATTCACTACACATTCAAACACACCATTGAACACATCACGTATTCTCATGGAGGAGTTAGAACAATGGAATGATATTGAAGCAGCCATCTGTGAAACGAATAAATATAATCGAATGCCCAGTGACGAGAAAATCAATATTTCAACAAGTGATAATGGTATATTGCAGCGACGACAAGAACGACAGAATAATAATAACAAGAAATAGATATTCAGTTTACAAAAGAATCTTTTCTTTGGAATGACCTAATGTAGATGTATTGTGTGTGTTTATCTAAACCCGCTACGAGGAGTCACTTCGTTAAACCTGGATCGTAGCCGGAAGAGAGTTAAAAAAAATAATAAAAATCGCAGTCAAAGGAGCTTAAATTTGGTCAATCAAAAGTCAACCAAACAACAAAAAGCTTTGCTTTTTCGTAAAATGATCGGAAATCTAATTCATTCAGAGACATCTGCCATGCATGTCCTTTCAACTTGAATAAGAAAGAAAAACAAAACGTAGTTATAGTTAGCAAGGTGCGCTGTAGTGCTGTATACTCCACTATTTACTCTTACTTTACTTCGCGTGTGAGTCTCATCTGTTTCGAACCGGGCTGTTTAGAACGAAACTATTACTGTAGTGTTTACCGGCTCAACGACAATCGATAATCATTTTAAAGTAGAATGTTTGAGGCAAACGCAGTATCCTTTATCTCATACGACCACCTATTTTATAAAACTAATGAGAAAACATCTGTTCTCATATAAAATCGAGATAACAGTTTCAAAAAGTGATCAATATGCTGGGATACCGACTTTTTTCGGTAAAGGAGTTTGCCGACCCGGGACTTTTCATTGTTCACTGGTGGATCTTCGAAAATTATATGAATAAGAAGAATGTTTTAAGAGAGTCTTCGCGAAAAAACCACCCTAGGCACCGAACATACTGTCCGTTGGCAAATTATTCACATGTCATTCGAAAGAGCATTCAAAAAATGACTACTAATTCTGTAAGAACTCTTTTAGTTTTCCACTGGTTTTGATCTTAGTTTTGGCATATTCACCAAATACAATAATTTCCGCATAGTTGAATCGAATATTACATCTAGTGACATGTCTTTTTACCGTCATCAGTTCATATTAGTAGAGAAAAAGAATTTTTAATATTGTAAAACTGACTGGAAAATAGATATTATGTATCGAAAAAGACAGTTTTCTCCTATTCTATCAAGTTTTGACATAAGTAAGCTAACATTGAGTCACGTGCAGTTTTTAAGCACAAAACCAAAAGGCTTCACTTGTCAAAAGTAGGAAAAAACCTGTCTTTTTCGATACATAATATCTATTTTCCAGTCAGTTTTACAATATTAAAAATTCTTTTTCTCTACTAATATGAACTGATGACGGTAAAAAGACATGTCACTAGATGTAACATTCGATTCAACTATGCGGAAATTATTGTATTTGGTGAATATGCCAAACCTAAGATCAAAACCAGTGGAAAACCCACCTCAACTACAGTACAGCAGCACAGCACTGTCGTAAAACGTGTGTAAAATCATAAAAAGGCATCGCAAAGAGCTCGCTAACGTCTCATTTTGTGGGAAAATGTTTGCCCTACATCTGTATTGACTCAAAAGAATCTTGTATGTCCATATCTTTGACATTTGCATAAAAATTTAGAAAAGTAAGAAAATGATGAAATCGATACTTATCTCCAATATTTGATATAAAAGTACATCATGTCCGTGTTTTAAAATGTTGTACTGCATATGAATCGACGAAGGATTGTCTGCTCTAGAAAATGAAGCTAGATTTATTTTGGGACTGCCATATGCGTGGTCTGCTCTTAAAAAATACTGGACAAATTTCTATTCTAAAATATGAAATTTTTTAGTTTTCTATTATTTAGCCATAGATAGTTAAACATCTTATTATGTCTAAATACCAAGGGGAAAAAGGGACTTTTTCCATTCGTAGCATCGGGGAAACCTCCCGGGGCCGCTTATTTTTATTGTATAAAAGTTTTTGAGTGGTCTACGTCTCAACTAGTTAGGTTCACAAAATTGTTTAGGAACTTTTTACAGGAAGAGTCCAAGATGTCTGTACTGGATAGACCTTTAATTTCAGTCTCGATCAAGTATCATGCTCATACTCAAGTTTTAATGTTCAATATAAAAAAATACATTCGAAAATTTAGAAGAACAAAAAAGAAAAAAATTCAAAGTTTTTTGAAACTGGAGAAGTTTTTCAAATTTTAGATCCTTCGAGTTTTTTTGATTTTTCAACACGGAAAGATCGTTTTGAAAAATTGACAACTACAGATTCGTGTTCAGCTCAAAAAACTCTATCGAATGGTGTATAATAAACTAGAAAAAAATTCCACTACTAGTTTGCTTTAGGCGCACGCACCTTACCATAGTTTTTCGCCAGCTGTTCGGAGGAAACCTGAACAGAAAGTAAAAATTTCATTTAAAAATGAACTAAGTGAGCGCTTTTAGAATTTATAGCATGTTCTTAAGAGCAGGAATGTTCCTTCAGCAAAGGAACAACATAAAATAGAATAGTGCTAGTAGATCCATCACAGTCAAACAGCTGTGGACCACTAAAAGCTGGCACACACCCGATGTCACAGTTACGCCGTTCATACTCCAAGTATGAAACTGAGTATTAAGCAGCCGATCAATTACCTTTGGTTTAGGCTGAATTTGTATCCGCTTCTCGAAAAAAATGCATCAAGACACGCATTTCTTTAAATATATCTTCATCAATCAAAAACTGTTTTCTGTAGTGAGCAGCTTGTTTAATAACGTCGATCGTTATACACGCACTAAAATTTCCAGCTGTTAAGTTAGCATCGACTGTAGTACGACAAACTTTCAAAGAACCAACGTCATTCACTTTTTGTCCTGTTAAATTAGAAAAAATAACAACCTAAATATAGGATTTTCGAAAAATAACCTTTTAAATTAGTTCTTCGACAACAATGTAGCAATTACGGTTTGTTTTAGATTACTCTACAGTCACTTACGAGGGAAGGCCCCCAATTGTCCAGAAGCTTTTGGCCCAAAACTTCTTCTGGACAGTTGGGGGCCTTCTCTCGTTTGCTGAGGAATTCAACCAATTCAAATATCCGTTAACAGCATATCGTATTTCAGGTTCACTGCATAAATGGAAACTTCGGAAGGAACCAGCTATTTTATTGTATTTGCTCAGGGTATCGTATCCTGGCTAACGGGCATTCAGACGTAAAAAGACCAACTGTCGCGAAAAAGAGAAACTGGCACAGCCGGATTAAGAGCTCAAAAAACGAAACAATCAGCACATTTAAAATTCAAGAAGTGTCTAAACGTAAAGAAGGGGGTAAGAGGGAGATGAAGCGAAGAGGAAGGAGTGCGGAGTCGAGGGAAAAAAGCGACTTTCAGTCAAGAGGATGAAGAACTCAATGAGTGTAATGTTTTCCTGTAAGAGAAGTTTTGTCCTCTAAAAACATTTCAAAACCCTTACCAAAATTTAGAAAACATGTTTTTTCTAGGTTTCTCGATACGCTCTACAATCTGGACAGATCAGAAAATTTTTTCTCGAAAAAAAGTTTTTCGCCTGGAAAACCGGTTTTTCAAAAACCAGGTCTTAGAAGGCCTAAGGGCCCAAACGGTTGGCATATTCGGATTCAGCACATTTTTTTACCTATTACCCACTAGCTTAGAGCTAAAAAGCGAGGTGACAGTTGGTGACCTTCCCTCTTAAGTAGGTAGTTAAATAGTATGGTTTCGTTAGAACTAAGTGACTGTGGAGTAATCTAAAACAAACAGTAACTGCTGCATTGTTGTTGAAGAACTAATTTAAAAAGTTATTTTTCGAAAATCGTATATTTAGCTTGTTATTTTTTCTAAGTTATTTTAGCGCAGAAAGTGGCTTTTTTTATCTGTTTTGCGCTTATTTTACACGTTGGGACACGCTGAATTTAATTCTAATATTTTCAGCTCAAGAAATGTGGTTTTGCTAAATTTCGTTACATATGATACACTACGTCTTGCATAGTGTAACCATTGGTTCTTATGGTGCCAATGAGAACGTTGTTATATGCCATAAGAATGAATTTCGCTATAGAGAGTCGAAAAAATTCAGACAAAGAAGGATTTAACCAAACTTTCACGATCATCAGAGTATTTAATCTATATTATATGAGCAAAAGGAAATCGAATAAAAGCACTCGTCTCAGAAGTTTTTTTTTTGATATGTTGTTTGACTGCGAATATAATTAAGATCCAAGAGACCGTTTCCTACTTGAAGATAATTTGGATATACGAATTGACTGAGAGATGCTTCCGTAGCTTAGAGATGACCGATAATTCGATCAGAGACGAAATTGTCCATGAGCGGTGGTCAATTATGATTCCCTTCATTTGAAATGATCAAAGTCCTATCATCGCAATAGCGCCAAAGTAGGCATATAATGGGATTTATTTTGGTTTCTCGATGTATCCGAAAAGCTTTTTAGCGCAGCCCCACGAGGTGAAGAATGATAAACGTTTCTATGTTGATAAAGAGGTGGTATAGTTCAGACTCGCCCATTTTTAAATGGGTCATATTTTGTTTTTGCTTTTCACAACACTTTGGTATCATAGGAAAATTCACCAAGGAGGGAGGAACTGTAATCGCCGAAAAGTGGCAAGAGAACCCCAAACGCTGTCATCAATATCTAAAATGCTAATAAAACCTGCGTGGTACCAAGAGGAAGCGCCGGAATAGAGGTCCGCCCAACGAAACAAGACTGAACGCGAGACTCGTACTAGCATCTCCCCAACGGCTAATCTTTCGATTCTTAGCTAAAAGAACCACTGTTCCAGCATGTTTCTCAAAAGGTTTTCGCCTTCGCAAAGAACAGATTGAACTTGTTTTGTCTGAAGTGGCACGTTTTTAGCTCAAAAGGAAGAAAATATTTAGTTGGAAATTGTAGCACTTCCCATATAAAAATTTCAACGAATAATCAGATTAATAGCGATTTTTATGATTCATAATCGGCCATAAGCATACTCCTTAACTCGATTATCGCGTGTCAATTTTGAAAAAGTAGGTATATACGAGGCGAAATTACTGAATTTTTTTTTTCAATATTATGTTTATGATTTTAGCAATGACTGCTTGTACGAAAGAGACTGAATAGTTTCTATTTTTGCGTACACGTAGTTTTTCATAGGATTCTAGTTTCAGTCTAGAATTAATTATTAATTAGAAGAGACGATTGTTTTCTTGACAGGTATACTGAATGCAGTACACGAAACAACTTGATTTCGATGAAATAATATCATAGAGTTTGTTGAAGTAAAGAAAAAGAGTAAAGTACATAAGTATACCTGCTCGACCAAGATAACATCTATCAAACATACAATTATGTAACTGCTTTTTTTTAACGTTTTTTGCGCCCTTATCAAAACAAAGTGTTTTCATGTTTAAAGCTTGCCCATCAAACAGATGATCCAAATGAAATTACATTGACTGTAAGTGCGTTTTTCTTTGATTTTTTCATTCACACAATTATAAAACATAACGTGAAACGTTTTAAGCTCTATAAAGTTGTATTCATGATTTAGATTTTGTGTATTCATTTTCTGCTCTATCTTGAATTTGTCTTCGTGTTTACCAGTCATTCGTAGACTATTAATGGTTGCACGCAAAATACAGCGTACAGCCAAAAAGATCGCTGTATTTCCATAACGAATCAACGTTCAGAGCCGAGACACTTTTCGTTTTGTAGAGTAATGTTTAATCTACTTAATTATCTAGTTGTCATTTGAGCTTAGTTTGTAACTTTATTGCAATAACTTTTCGAAAAAGAGCAGAGACCAGAGGCCGTTAGCTGGACAAGCCGTTAAATGCGCGAGGTCTGACGTTCGGACTGTATGTCACAGAAATGGCGTAATTGTTTCGAGGATGTTTTTATTTTCTTTGGCAAAGCCGCTGACTCCAGAACTGACTCGATAAGAAGTGTTTTGCTGTGAGAACCGTGTTCTACTACTAACGCATGTGACACGTTTTTACCTATTGTGGCGCAAGTGCGGCACAATGCGCTGGCACCGACACAGTTGTGCGCACTATGCTAATTGTGAGCGCAATTGTAAAGCACATTGGATTCGCAGTGTGAGTGCAATTGCCGTGCAATTAAAGCGCTATCAAAAAATTTCGACTTTCATATCTTTCACCACCTGTATCTGAACTGTATGAATTCTGACGTATCCCTTGCGCGATTCTCATTTCGGAAGTTCTATAACTAAGCTTTCTTCGGTAAAATTAGGTACCTGATTCTGGTGGAACGCATTTTTTCCACTCACTGTGACCGAATGCAGTCTCTGTGACGTAATTCCGCGTATTTTGCTGATTGGGACCGCAGTTGTGCTCGAACAGTGCTGTCCCGTTTTTGATCGGTATCAACACATGGATTTGTCATACCTTTAACTGTCTCAGCCATTTGAACGTTATATGCCTCAGACGATTCGTCTTTTCGGAAGCTCTGTACTAAACGTGTTCCACTAAAACTTACTACATTCTTTCTAATGGGACACTCAGATGACGTATTTTTTCGTCCACTGGAGCGCAGTCGTAACACAATGCGATTGCTGCCACAATTGAGACTCAAATCGCATTCGCAGTGCTTTCGGCTTTCGGCTAAAAGTCGAAAAGCTGAATCGACTTGCTGAATCGACCGTTCGACTTTTACATTACTCTATATGTATTCTTTGGCAACTGGATCTTAAATCAAATCACATGATATCTCGTTCGGTTAAATTTTTCTCTAATTTCAGAAGTCACTCAACGACTGCACCTATCGATGACCCTCAATTGGTGATCATTGGCCGTCGAAATTGTAAATTGACGCTTAGTGTTAATTACCAAGACCTTATCCAACAATAGGCAGAGAATTTTTGTCCCTATTGTATACTTCCACATCAAAAGAAAAATATTTTCATTTGCCTATTTTCAAAGAAATCGTTTGATTCTGCGCATATATTTTGGATACGATGAAGTTTGCGGAACATTTATGGAAACATTTAACGCCTGAATGGTATTCCCAATACATTGCATATGATGCCATGAAAGAAATACTTTACACATGGGTTGCTGAAGCACCACCGCTTCCCGACATGAATGAGGCCTTAAAGCGTGAAGAATTTTTTCTGCAGGCGGACGAACACTTTTTACGAGTAAGAATTTTGATGTTCAGCTTAAATTTATTAACTCTCGTTCTTCTTTGTAGTACTGCGAGAAAGAAGCATCAAAGATCAATACTTTCTTTGCGGAAAAGCTTGCTGAGTAAGTATGTTTAAATATTAATCTCCATTTGTGAAATCTTGAAATAGCAGGTCTTCATCTTGAAATATATAGATAATCTCACAAAAGCATTTTCAATGCATTTCTTTTTGAATAATCCAGTTTTGAATTGAGCTTTGTTCGTTACATTACTTCGAAAATAGTAACAAAAAAGTAACGTGGATTCAGAAATAAAACGTGGACAGAAAATAACGTATTGAATACCTCTTCTAAAAGACAGCCAATTTCGAGTTGCGTCCATTCCTATTGTCTTAGAAATGACTTCTAAATGAAGCTGAATGTTCCATGATCTCATTCTTATATTTAGTAAACATAATTTTTTTTTGAAATTGCAAACGTGCACAAAAATGATCATGACAGAAATAGTTAGCTACAGACTATTAATTTCAGTTTTATACCTTAACTCACTTTATTTTTATCATCTGCCAATATGCTAAATGAATGATCGGACATTATTTCCATTTGCCATTATAATCCAAAGTTTGTCTTCTCAACTTAACTTAGAGACTTATCTCCATCAGGTTTTGGTCCCACATCTCTTTTTCAGCAGTCAGTCAACATAAAAAACACTGTACTGGTATTGAATTACTTCGAATCGAAAGTAACTAGCGAATGACTCTAGTGAACAATATAAAAAGTCTGTTTCGATTAGATCGATAAAAGCTTTCAAAAAAAGCTTAATTTAGAAAGGCAAATGTTTTCACACGGCTGTCGCGACGATTTTCGGGTAATTTGTACTCATTAACTATTCTCTGTCTGACTACGTAAACTGTACTTTTTTAGGCGAGTGACACATTCACATGTTGATTCAGTGACTTCAGATTAGTTTGAAGTAAACACCGCTACTCGACTCAGCATTACTCTGACCCATCTTGGAATAATCAGATTCCATATGACTGCTCTCGAAGAAAAAGCTCTATAACTTCCGAAAGAAGGCAGATTTGAAAAAGTATGACCTTGGTAGTCACGCCGAACAGCAACTTTCAGAATTGCATAACGAATTTCTTTATGACAATTTGAAAGTATGGAGCAGTTGTCCAGTCTTCATGCCCTCTTTCTAGAGCGTTGAGACGGCTTGAGCCTCTAAAAAATGAGCTTGTTCTCATCGATCAAACCCATGGGAATCGCCACCGACAATTCACCTTATCCGGGATGTTTCCCGACGTCGACCTAGAAGCAAATATTAGCAAAGTGGCCGGCTACAATAGAATGTCAACTACCAGTCCACAGCATCGGAACAGTTTGAAAGCAAGCTTGACCGATCTTCCTTCTAAAAGATTGGACGCGCAAAATTCCCGTAGACAAATGCAAAAGACACGGCATCGAACGATAAACGATTTGAAATTGGCTTTCAGTGAATTGTATTTGATGCTTATCCTCTTGAAAACTTATCAAACACTCAACTTTACGGGATTTCAAAAAATATTAAAAAAACACGACAAACTATTTCAAACGACTCGCGGCGATGAATGGCGGTAGGTTAATTCTATCTTGTGTGTGTGTTCACCGTTGAACAATTGCAGCCTTTAAAAACAGAAAATTACACATCGATTCGGCAGCATTTCACACGTCAAGACGCGTCGACCAATTGATCGTCGAGATCGAAGCAATGTATACCAATGGACTCGAATCTGGCGATCGGACACGAGCAATGCAACGCCTACGTGTTCCACCGCTCGAAGAAAATCAACCACGCCTAGTGACATTTCGTGTCGGACTGTACGTCGGTAAGATATCTTTTTCCCTTCGCTTCAAAAGGAAAGCTCTCCAAAACGGTAAATGATTTTTCTTTTTTTCTTTTTCGTTTTTGCCATCGGCTTAAAATTCGGGCATGTGAATTTGTTCGAATTTTCGAGTTTTTTCTTCTTCCTGACAGTATAAGCAGGTCGTCTGGCGTGTACTTCTAAGTCCGCTACTGATGCCTTCTGAAAATGTTCAGTTTAACTGAACATTCGTAATACATATTCAGTCGGATCGTCATACTTTTTCTAGATTCTAAGCATTAAGATTTTCCAGATGAATAGTTCGGAGGCTATGCTCGATTCCACTATTCTTTTATTTGCGTCGCGTGATGTGCGTCGATGAACAGCTAAACCATGTCGTCTATTTCAGAGTCTGATAACGGTCCTGTGTTAGTGTTTAAGCTGAACACTAATGTGTACATATTGGGTGCTGCGGCATATGTTCTAGCCCATAAGAAGCTGTAGGCAATATTTTTCCTCAGGAATATTATCATCGGTTAAAAAAACAAGGGTATTCAAAAAAGGTGAAACAGATTTGTTTTCTTCTGGCTTTCTTTTTTTCCGATTCCGTTTACTATCTTGTATCCTTTACCTCTGTTAGTTATTTTTTACTACTCTTATTTACTTCGAACATCAGCGGGATCAGTGCCTTTCTAATTGCGAATAGCTTTGTTTCGGCGATAAGTCCGGTTAGTAGCTTACCGTTTGACTATTTATCATCAAAAGAGTTGCTTTCTTTCTAGATGTTGTGGTTTACTTGCAGATAGAGTTGAAGTTGCTTAAAATGTTTTGAATGAGCAGATAAGCAAAAGAGACCCTTTGTTTTCTTCGTCTCTTTCTTCTTTATTTTAATCATCAAAAAGTGTATGGTTATAAAGTTTCAAAAACAAAAACTAGAGCACTAGCACAATATGAGAGTCGACGACCCACAGATGCACTGAAAGAAGGACTAATCTCTTGACAAAAAACATGGTCTAACTCAAAAACTTAAAATAACAAGTACAGAGTTGTGCGGCTGAAAACATGCACCTTTCCACGTTTTTGCGATATCTTACTCCTTTGAAAGAAACTCTGTACCCACGTAATTGACTAATTCAAACTTAGAATTTTTAAGGAAAAAATCATTCAATGTCAATTTTAATGACGCAAATGCGATTATGTAATCTGTGAGTGTTTCTTACTCAAATAACTGGTACACCCGATGACACAGAATAATACCGCATAGTAAAGCTTTCTCGTATCCTCCATGCAGCTTAGAGCACATACATTTTGACAGAAGAAGAACTGAAAACAAGAGTGAGTTGGCTTGACATCATAATTCTTAAACACTTTCATTGCTATTAACAAGCTTTTTTCTTTTAAACTACAGTTAATCAAATATCTAACTCAAGAAAGGCAATTATAACTACAATATAGTCAACGCTTTATGACAAACCTTTCCACTGCCAAGTAAACCCTGTCTTGAAGATCGTGTAGCCGTGTCTCCCACCATATCTCACACGATCGATAGCTACGCTTTGCAAGTGAAGGGTTCTGTGAATGGTGCATTCACTATACTTTTCAATGACTAATATTACATATATACCAACGTTTTACTTTTCGAGGAATGCTCTGTATACTAATTCCGTTGGTGATCCTTCTCGGCGGTACTTTCAATATCAGTCAGTCAGGAAAACCACTTGCCTGGCGTCCAGCACTGCATCTTTATCGTCCTGCATTTCTCATTATTCTTCACATTATTCTTTTTGGCATCAATGTTTATGGTTGGTCACATAATGGCGTCAATCATGTCCTCATATTCGAAATGGATCCACGCAACCATTTAGCATACCAAAAATTCCTCGAAATTGGTACATTACTTATGGTTCTATGGTTTCTCAGTTTTTCGGCATTCATTCTCGCATCGTATTATGACGCTCAACCATTCGTACAACCTCTCATTTTTGTCATATTTCTGATTCTTTTTCTCATCAATCCAATTCGAAAATTCTGGTATAATGCTCGCATATGGTTTTTAAAAAAATTGGGCCAGGTCTTTTTGGCACCATTCTATCATGTTGACTTTGTCGGCTTCTGGCTCGGCGATCAGCTCACATCGCTTGAGTTGATCTTTTTCGATATTGAATTTTTCATCTGTTTCTATATTTATGATGCCAATTGGGGCTCAACAAATAAAACGTGCGGTGTCTTCTGCAGTGGTTGGTCACAATATTTCTTACAAACATTTTTTATTCTCCTACCATCCTGGTTTCGTTTTGCACAATGTCTACGGCGATACCGTGATACTAAACATAAATTTCCCCATCTTGCAAATGCCGGCAAATATG